CAAGCTGGAGCATAAAACAACAGCTGGCCACTGACTGAGCAACATATTACAGATATGGCAGCAGAGTGAATCCTTTCTGTGTGGCACTTGGAATTTTGAAACATTTCCAGGCACTTGTGTGTCAGAGTGGAAGCTGCTTTGAAACGAAGCAATGCCTTTCAGTCAAAGTGGTCAGTGTTTAAAAAAACTGATAACATGCTCTGGACAATAATCGTCTGACAACTAGAGGTGTGGATGCGGCATCACAAATATTTTCAGCTACCAATGGCATTGAGATTACTGGTTACTGAGATGAATTGGTTTGTACATGGCTGGTCATGTGATGCAAAATAGTCAACCGCATGAGGTGCTCCATGCAAAATAAAGCTGTCTTTATTCGGGTATTGTTTTATTATTATTCTTTTTTAATTTTTTTGTTTTCAAATATTTGATCAAATGAGCAAACAGTTTCTTCTTATTTTAACAGTAGAAATTGTCACAGAGCAGTAAAAAATGCCTGAGGCATAAATCTCTAAATTAATTCCTTGGTAACCCTGAATACAACAAGAAATTTAAAAGTGAAATATCACGAAAATCTGACTTTTTCCATGTTTAAGCGCTATAATCGGGTCCCCGGTGCATCTACCAAACGAGAAAATGTGAAAAAGAATAACCCAGTAAATTTTTTTTGGTAAGCCTTTCTCTGTAAGCTTGTGAAATAACGAGCCACTCAGATTTCGCTCCCCCGTGACATAAAAAGGGGATCTTATTATAATATTACTGCCCCTTAATCTGCAAGTTTCCATGAACTGCTCCGCCATTGTGTTTTCGCAAGCGACAACAGTGTACCAGTTCTAACGCCATGGCAAAAGTTCAAGCAAAGCATGCTAGCTGTTCTGTCTTTGGCTGCACTGACGAGCAGAACACTGTTTAGAGTTCCAGCCTCAGAGAAGACAAGAGAGCAGTGGATTTATTGATTTCTTTACTGTATATTATGCTGCTGCTACATTGATCTAATATAAACATGCAATTTTTTCCCCAGCTGTTTACCTGCACAGACATAACTGACTTTTTTTGTAACTCGTGTTTTTAACATAAACTTGTGTGTATTTGACAGTTTAAGCGCAATAAGACTTGAAAGAGAACCTAGTTTAGTACTCATATGCCATGTGACAGCCGCTTTCTGTGTGAGTGCTTTGGATGTGCGCTCAGAAAATTGTATATCAGAAGTTTAAACTAATATGGTTTAAAGGGGTCATATGACGTTGCTACAAAGAACGTTATTTTGTGTATTTGGTGTAATGCAATGTGTTTATGCGTCTGAATAGATGTGACCCCTTTAATGATAGACATGATAATCAAAACCAAACAGATGTGTTTTAGCATATCTGAGATACCAGCTGTAATGGCACAGACCTATTCTGAAAAATGGGGCAGGGAGCAGTAGCTCATTTGCATTTAAAGAGACAACAAAAACAGCCTGTTTCTCCTTCTACTCAAAATATGCATTTTTAAAATTATATAATAAATGATCTGTGGAGTATTTTGATCTGAAACTTCACAGACGCATTCTGGGGACACCTGAGACTTATATTACAAATTGTAAAAATAAAAAAAAGGGTATAATAGGTCTCCTTTAATTAATTTATTGATTTGATTCCAATGATGATAAAAGCTTTATAATGGTGATAAATCAGGGTTGTGAGTTTAGTAACTCCCCATTTTCTATGTTAAAACGTCTTTGGACTGAACCACCAGCTTTTTTGATAGCAGTATTGATTTTTCACCACTGGAATTGCATTGCAACTATTGCATTCAATAATCAATCATTAGTAGTCATGGACTAAAAAGTGAAGCAGACTGAGATAATATGTTATTTGGGACAATGCCAATGAAACAATTCAACTTAATAATGTACATCTGTTTCTATATATTTTTTCACTTTCTTCCTTCATCTGTCATTACATTCACCTTTCTATCATGAAATCAATTTATTAACCTTCAAATTAAATATGAACAGCCTTTCATGCTCATACTTTTTGCAGTACAAATCAGTGTGATTGCTTGGCCTTGGCCTAAAAAACTAAGTTATTTCTTCACAGTTTATCTTTAGACAAACATCACGTTTATAGGATCAAGAAATTGCATTAATTTCTGACATTTCTCTATGTTTCTCTGTAAAGTTAATGTGTTATGCCTCTTTCTGTTTATGAATTCATATGAATATCAAAAGCACATATAGCTGATTTCTTGTAATCACATCTGAACTCCGGTCTTGTGTCCTCAGTCTTCAAGTCTTGTGAAACGTTTGATTAATTATCTTAGGTAAAAAGGAAAAAAAGAGCTAATATACCAAGAAAAACTGCTGTGTTATGGATATATGAATGACTGATATTCACATTGTCATGCATCAAGATATATTCAGGAAATACTTAACATTATAATCTCTCTTTTTTCATAGTTAAACAACAGATCTCTCTACCAATATTTTGATACTGTGTTTTCACAGGTGCACTGAGTATTCCCGTTTGTCCTCAAGCAGCTTGGTGAAAATGTGTTTGACTGTGTGTGTGGTTAAATGTTACATATGTTTCCAGTAAAATATCATTATTATTGATTAGATTGAGATGTGAGAATTTCAGGTCTGAAGCATGGAATTCTTGGCATACTCTCTGCAGACATACATAGTATGTATATGAGCAATGCTCTTCAGAGCAATGCCATAAGCATATGTTTGAGACCTAATACTGTTTGTGGGGGTCAGGGGTGATCTGACAATCTTTGCACCAGAAAATATTATTTCCTCCTGTTTAAAACACACCCTAAAAAGCTTTTCACACTTTTCAGATCATAAGAATCAAGTGATCATCACTCAAACTGCAATAAGATTTAAAATACAGAGCATGGAAGTTTCTATGACTATACAAAGTGTGTAAATATTTAAAGAGGTAAGTGCTGTTCAGTTTCTGATTGGTGGCTTGTTGCTAAACAACTAGCCGTTGCATTTTACGTCACACCGGCCATTAACACAGAACGCGCTTTTGCATTTAAAAATGTGAGGAGCAGTCAGGGTAGTGGAATGGTAAAAACACTGTGAAATTTCTTCAACCAAGACTTTTAAAAGTAACATTTTTACAAAAGAAGCAATGCTCAACGGTCAAATATGCTCATGTATCGTTGGTGCATGTTTACATAGAAAAGCAATAGAAAAGCAGCGGAGTGGATTTCAAATCGCTTTCTGTGTGAAGAGCCCCTAAAAATAACACTGCATCGTTGCACATTGTGTATCCTTGGCTTCACAGTCTGCAATGTTTCAAAACTCAGAATTCAAACGATGCTAACCTTTTATATATTAAAATTGAGAAACGCTGCTTTCCATGGCTAAAAGTGCACAGTAAACGACATAGGCCTACACAATAAAAGACTATTTCCGTATTCTTTTCTTTTCATATCTATTGAAATTAAAATTTATGAAATTATTTTTGCAAGAATGCAAGATACATCAGTGTGTGCTTTTGAGAACAAGTTTGACAAGGTTCGGCTTTATTAAAATCAATAGTGTTAAATCAATCAAAAGCGGAGGAATAAAAAGAGGCATAAAAAGTCAAGTTAAAATGATAAATAAATAAATTAGAAAAAAAATTATGAAGAAAAATAATGGCATATGCTTATATATAAGCAAACCCCTCTATTTTTGATTCCTTATCCCTCTATGGGATATGGTCATTTATAAATGATGCTAAGCAAAATTGCATTTAAAATACAACATTAATATTCAACCAACAAAATTTTATTTTAGTGATGTCAAATGACATCCCCGTCAACCAGTAAAATTTAAATTTATTAGCCATGTGCTTTACATTTTTGGTAACTAAGTAGTAAAGGAGACATTAGCACATGGTAGGTCACATGCTCTCAAGGCTCCACAGTGAGCTCATTTTAGACTAGAAAATACATATAAATTCAAGTTATAAAAAATATGTGTTTTTTAAATTTTTTTGTCATTTTTAATGCACTTTTATAAAAACAACAACTCAGAGACCAACAAATCTGAGCGTCATGCATAACTGGCAAAGTCCTATTATGTGATGCATGTTGTGTGTAGCTGGCACTATTGACCAGCGTTGGCGGGCAGTGTTATAGCCTTTATGCATGTGTTTTAGGTTCCTTTTTTAAAGATTTTTGGAAGATGGAGAGACAACTCTGTACTTATTTCAGAAAGTATTGATGATAGTGATATGAGCGCATCAGAAAATCAGGTTGTAGTAATAAAACAAGTTGTTGAGGACCAAGGAGGATAGAAGCAATGAGGGTGAGGGCAGTGATGAATAATAGGTTGTTGTGGAAGTCAGGCATTTGGGTACTTGGGTATTATTGTATACCAGTTTGAAAGATGTGATCCATACAACAACCAGAGGTCAAGATGCCAATGTCTATTGGCATTACTATACTGACAGGCAGCAATGCTCCAAATGATGACTGCACAAGTCAACATCTACTTATGTGTGGGACGTGTGGGGTATATTGAAAAAGAAGATAATGCTACGATAATTGATTTGAAATTCCAAGATGAAACACAATGTTAAAGTTGTTTTAATGCTTTTGAAACACTAAGACATGGTTTTCAGGCAGTGAAATTGCATCCGAATTTGTGTCAAGTTTTAGCAGCACAAGAAAAAAATGGAATGTTCATAAAGATTTTTAATGTTTTTTGAAACAGTGATACCTTTTCACTTCTTTTCAGATAGTGAAAAAGCATTTGATTGTGTGTGAAGTTTCAGACAATTTGCCAAAAATAATTTACCCTAATGGGACAACGTCAAAAGGTCAAAGGTCAGATGAAGAAAACAAATTTTGGAAAATGTTTTTATTCCTAAATATATGTAAAATATAAAGTCAATTATTTTTTAAGCTGTAAATTCACAATTAGTCTATAGAGGGTTAAAATAAATGAGTGTCGATGAATGAGTACATACAGTACAATAGGTGGCGATATAAGCTTCCGTTGGTTCTCAGACTTTGAAATCTTTAGGAGAAGAAACAGTAGGAAGCGTTTCGCTCCTTGGGTTTAATGGTACCTGCCTTGGGGAAGATTACCGGTAAATGTCATTACATCTCTTCTTACAAACCTTCTCCGCTCACAAACACTCAAAAGAATATCGTCTGTCAGTAAGAAATGCAATGAAGTCATTCAAATGTCACAGCCGTGTTAAAGCTTTGAACTTTGTGTTTAAAGTCGTAGGTAGATTTATGAATGAGCGTTATACGGATTTACTAGTGATTATATTGAAGAGTAAGACCTTCATAATTTAGACATGTCAATAAGACATTATCCAGTGACAAGCTTTGATTCTAGATAATAAAAAGTTGTCAGTGATGCTTGAGTGTAAATTACCTCTGCTTTGCTCTATTCTATTCTATTCTATTCTATTCTATTCTATTCTATTCTATTCTATTCTATTCTATTCTATTCTATTCTGTTGATTCTGAATGCATGTTGTGGCTGAACTGAATGATCTGAACAAAGGACTTAACAAGATAACAGACTCTAAACTCCAATGTTCAGTGTGTTGCAAGCTGTCATTTTGGCATTAGGTGTCAGAGGTTGACTTTCATCACACAGCAGTTCTGCTGCCTTTTTGAGAACTGATTGCAGGGATTCTGGGACAGTTCTACAGCTTGTGACCATAATCAATAAAGGCTGATTCAACATTTGTTTTAGCTGTGTTTTTCTGTGCATTTAATCAGCAACTTGTAGTTGCAGTCTTAATTATTAGATTGATCTTTTTTTTCTCTGATTAAGAAAATTGCTTTAATAATTTTTGAATATGATATATTACTTTAATACCTTCCCTTTTGACATTTATCTCTTATTGGTTAGTTGTATTGTGGTTGGTTTTATATAATATAATCAGTCGCTTTTGTCTGGTTTCTATATTTAGGCCCAGAACTGTGTGGAGCTGATCCGGTTGATGTGATGTGCAGTCCAGGATCGGGGGGGCCTGGAGAGGACGCCTCTGTAGAGTATGTGTACTGCAGAGGAGCAATCACAGAGCTGCTTAAATATGGACCAACAGACCTGCATGCTGCCAGCAAAAGCCCCAATCCTCCCAAAATGCTCATCCTTGTCATTCCAGGTAGGATGGGTCAAGTTTTCCACTTGTCAAGAAGTCTAAATATACAATATTGTATTATAGTTAGATTTCAATATATATTTGGCTAATGTAAATTAGGAAAAAAGAACAGTTCAGACTTTACTTTATATTTTAATATACTGTTTGTATATTAAAATATAATAAAATAGAATTTTGAATGTATTCTAAAATAAGTAATATTTCTGAATCACTAGCTCAGTTGATTAGTTCAAAAATGTGGATTCATTCAGTAACAAACAGTGCTGTGTGTAGCTCAGACAGGCATAACAGTTCTGCTGTGGCTTTGTTTGGAACTATTTTCATTGGTGAAATTGAACAAAACAGGCAATACCGACAATATTGTTTCCAAAAGGTAACACGATATTAACTTCTTTTTTTATTGAACTGATGAATAAAATCAATATAATATTTGCAATTGGGAAAAACAGCACTCTTGCTCGTGAGATATTGCTAAACGGTATCAAATTATTTAAGACAAAACCCACAGGGGCATTTTTTGCCCTCTTATCTTGAATTTTATGATCATATAAAGGCTACATTGTGCAGTGAGTCGTCCTGCATCATGTTCGTGAGCAACAGGTCTAGGCCGGGGCAGATGCATTAAATGCCTTCATTTCGCTTAATTTTAATGTTTTTTTTAAAGGCTGCACGATAAATCGCATGCGATATTTAACGCGCATCTTATCAGTAAAGCCAGTTCTGTAATCAGCGGTAAATCTCCATCACCTGCGGGCTTTCACATTGAGCAGCATTAACTACACAGAGCCGTTGTTCACTGACGAGCTGCGCAAAACCATGTTCATATTCGTGCGATTTCAAGTTTTCCTTTCTCTTTGGAGTGTTACAAGCTGATTGTGCATAGATAAGAGCCCTGAAGTTGCAAAGACTAAAGTCTCAAAACCAAAGAGATATTCTTTATCAAAGTTAAGACTCTGCCACGCCCCCCTAAAACGACTCGTTCTAACACGCCCCCACATATCTACCTCACTATGTGGAAATATTTTCATAATGCCACCCAAATGTTCATGCAAAGAAAGAAGGCGTGGTTTCAGTAACCGTAGTTAGTGTTGAAGCAGCCATGTCAGGGAGACGCTAGGTTTTGTTTCTAGGCGAAAGCAAAAGCGCTTTATTTGGCCTTCCGAAAGTAGATGCATTTAGGAATCTTTAAGATTACTTACAACAGAACAGCAATGCATTTTATGGACGACCGTTTCGTGAACCTAGGAGAGGAGGTAATTCTGACTTTGCTATGACAATCTGGCGCTTCTGAATCAGCTACTGTTTTGTTATTAGTTTAAGTATTTGCCATTGGCTGTTCAAATGCGGAGTTTTGCGCATCGTGTGTGTGTGTGCGAGCGAGAGAGAGAGAGAGAGAGCGCGAGCGTGAGCGAGACCCATCACAGTGGAGTCACCTGTCTTAACCGTGGTTTGTGTACTGCAAACACACATTCATCACTGTGTCTGTCACGAGATTCTGTTCCCCTTTCAGGCTCTGTCTTTACATTTATTTTGAAATCTCGCTCATTTAACCTGTTAAATCGTCAGCCCTAATTATAATATATTTTATATTTTAAAATACAATATTTTAAAAATAAAATTTTATATCTTATATTTTTATATTATATTACAAATTGTATTTTATTCCTTTTAGCTCCACTTAATTAGTACATGCTAGTCCAGGACTTGTATTTCTGACTTAAAATTTCAACTCAATGATTCAACAATGCCAAACATTCATGTAAAAATACATATTCGGCCCTTTTTAATATATATTGCACGATGACATATATTATATTATATTATATTATATTATTATTTATATTTGAGACAGCCCAAAATATCCAACTTGGGTATTGCTATGTACACTGCCTGTTTTATTTTTTATTTTGCGGTTTCTATATATATTGTTTTTGAAAGTTGCATTTTGAATGTCAGGCATTGTTTGCATGAACTTTAAAGCTTTTTTTAAGTTTTGCTCAGCTTCAAAGCCTATGACTTCACTTCCATAATTAAGACCAAGCACCAAATAAACCTGTCTTGAGATGAAATGCATATCGTAGACTGAGCTGTGTTAGGTTTTGGTTTCCAAGGCATAAATAAACATAACTAATGGAACTAGCCAAATTTGTATAGCAGTGATTGGTACACAGGTGCGTGAGTGCGTCACAGCTATCTGAAGCATTGGACATAACACAGTCCAACAGATGCAGGGGATATGAGGAAAAGTTCAGCGCAGTTGGGAGTCTACCTTTTTTACACTTGGCCCTGGGTCAAGAGGAAAACCCCAGTGGAAAATGGCTCTACGGGCCACCATTCTTCCCCTGACAGCAGCTTCTAGCACATTGACTTCATGGAAAAGCTGTGTAGCTCAGGAGCAGATGTTAAGCACTAAAAATATTGTTTCAGATTATTACACCTTGTCAGAAAAACTATGTTCGTTAACAAATCAGGCCCGTTTTGTCAGCCAAATTTACCAATTAATTGAAAAACTCTGCCTCCAAAGAACAAATTGTTCATCAATATGAATCTGTTGGAGTAAAGTGCACAAGTTATATGAACCAATTTTATGCCGATTTTATGATACTTTTTTTGAAGATTGAACGGTCTAGTCCCATTCATTGCTGTTTATGAATGTTCATAACAAAGACAGCTTAGTTTTGCTGAAAGCCATCATGTCCAGGCAGTCATCATGGGTTCATGATTCATTGAATTACTGCATAGCACATGTTTTTTATAGTTGTCTTCTTAAAGCAGTTTAACTGTCAGTGAAGTGTCTTATGCTGTCACCAAATTTCATACTTACGAAATCTCGTCTCCCAGTTCCTCTTTGTTTATCCATCTCCAAAAATAGTAAGGTGACAAAGTCTCTTTATTCTCATTTTTTAACGATTTATACTATCATTCAAAGGTTTGGGGTTGGTAAAAAAATTTGTATTGTTTTTGAAAGAACTTTTATGCTTTTATTACAGTTTAAAATAACTGTTTTCTTTTTGAATATATTTAAACATGTAATTTATTCCTGTGATGCAAAGCTGAATTTTCAGGCAGCAGCCATTACTCCAGTCTTCAGTGTCACATGATCTTTCAGAAATCATTCTTATATGCTAAATTGCTACTTAAGAAACATTTCTTATTATTATCACTGTTGAAAACGGCTGTGCTACTTAATATATTTGTGGAAACCGTGAAACTTTTTTTTCAGGATTCTTAGAAAAATAGTCCAAAAGGATAGCATTTATTTTAATATAAATCTGTTGTAACATTTGATGAACGTCTTTATAAATGTCTTTACTGTCAGTTTTGATCAATTGAATGTCCTTGCTGAATAAAAGTACTAATTTATTTCTTTTAACCAAAAAAAGTACTGACCAGTCTTTTTTTTAAATGACAGTGGTACATATAGCACTTTTTAAAGGGGTCATCCGATGCTACATGCACTTTTACAAGTTGTTTGAACTGAAATGTGTGTTGGCAGTGTGTGTACCCATCCACCCTATAATGTAAAAGATCCCCCCAGTGTTTTTTTTTTTTTTTAAATCTACTAAAATCTTTACCCCGTTCTCAAATCGAGCCAATCTCAGATCCCTGTCTGTGTGACGTCACACAGACAGGCCCCTCCCACAATAGTTTGATTGACAGTAGCGTTTCAGCACAGACTGGACTGGTGTCTTACCTTAGACCCACCTTGAGTGAGCTGTCATCAGTCAGACAAGATTGTCTCCAAAGCGTTTGAGGTGTTCTGTTGTTGGATGTAATAATGAACATAGCAGTCGTCATTTACTCCCGACATCTGAGCCGCAGTGGATTGCATAGGGAATGCGCCCCCGATCTACATAAATGCATCTTTGTTCGCGCGAATCATTCGTGATCCAGCTTCACCTCCAGAAGAAGTGAGTATAAGGTTTTTAATGAATCTTTGCAAATCGACTTTCCTTATAATGTGCTAATTAGCAAGTTTCATGATGAATGCAGCTAAAGTAAACAGTCCCTCAGAGAGCGGCTCGAAAGAGAGGGGGGGGGTCAGCAGAGCTCATTAACATTTAAAGGAAAATGCTACAAAACGGCTTGCTCTGAAAAGAGCTGTTTTTGACAGGGTAAAAAAGGTGTTTTACACTACCATTGAGAAATTTTAACTAAACTATGTTACAGACTTTTCATTAAGACCCTAAAGAATCATATCAACTTGTGGAAAATGGGCATCGGATGACCCCTTTAAATTCCTGACGTAAGCTATTGAAAAAAAGAGAAACCCCAACTGCAGATGTCCTGCAGAGAGAGCACGGTCAAACTGATGACCTTAAAGAGGGCCACTTTTCACCAGGCTCTGAATGTCACTGAGCATTATGCTCAATAGACTCTTTATGGGAAATGGAGAGCCCATACACCGACACTGTTATTGTAGAACCTGTGCCCTTTTCTCCAGAGATAACGGCAATAATCTCTGCAGTCTGGCCAGAGGCTCCCTTGGCTCTTATATCCTCCAGGGCCGGCACAGGTGCTACTGTTTTAATGTGTTCACTCTGTAAGAATGAGGATCAGTGTTGTATTCTTGAAACTAGCGCACTGACTGAGGAAAGTAAAAGGATACAAACACAAATAATATTTTATTTGCCATTAGAAAACTTTTTTTTAACATGATATAGTCTTATTACCCCAGCTTAGTGTAAATGATACCAAATTTAACCTTTTTATTGCATGGTGTAACAAAGCAATCATGCTTTCCCAGAAAGATCTGTATTTATTAATGATTGTTACTCATTAATAGTTAGTATTGTTCAAAATACAAATTGTTCAGGGTCTTTTTATGTATTTAAGGCATATATCTCCCAAAAAGGTCAAGTTCCAATTGAGTCCTGTTAGAAACAGGCATGCTGAGATTTGTGTGCGATGCATAAATGCTAAATCACCTCAGTTCACATAGCATGCTAACCGTGTTAACTGACTAAACCACTGGATGGCAGCAGGTTTGCTGTGCTATTGCT